CTCTTGGGATTGGCAGCCTGCTCAATTCATCCCTGGCATGGTGCTGCTGAGCAAAGCATACTGCCAGCTCTCATGGCAGCCTTAGTAGTGTCTGGTACGGCAGCAGCTGTGCCATGGCTGAACAAACACGAAGCTGCACTGAAATCAGCCTCAGTTTAAAAAAAAACAACAATCAATTTAGACAGACTTGAGGCATATTGTTAAGTCCTCAGCTTTCTAAATGTTGTCAAATGTTATTGGGGTGGGATTCCATGTGGTTCAAACAAGCCAAGTTTTCTTTCTCATAATGGAGTTCAACTCTTCCATTTTAATCTGGATTCTGAAAATCCAAAAGCATGTGAAACCCATTACCAGAAGATGATAGGTAAGCATGGGATTTGAGAAGATGAATAGGAGAACAAGCAAACATCTGCAAGTAATTCAATTAATAAGATAATCACAAGAAAAAGGAAGAAGAGGTTAAATAATAATGACTTAATGACTGGTTTGGAACTAAAAGAGTTACCCCCATGTGAATTTTTCTTAAACAGATCTCAGAAACAAGAGGTGAAGAACAGTGCCACTACTCATTCCTTTGAATTCCCTGACCCATTCTTCTTTAATAAAAATAAAAAAAATAATAAATAAAAACAACCTCCCAAAACAAGGCAAAGACATTTACAAGACTGAGTGTTCCTCATTAATATGAGAATCACTCTGAATTATGAAGATGTACTGCAAATAGAGGATTGACATTGTAGGTAATGAGGATAAGGACTGACAGGAGAACAGTCATGTAACTCATGTACACAAGTGACAACTCTGTTCTAAAAAGTCTGTTAAATTACCCTATGTCATAAAAAAAGTACCAAGTGAAACCTGAGTTCTAGACAAAAAAAAAAAAAAAGGAGAGAAAATCTAAATATGTCACAAATAGCCTGAAGGGATTGATTCTGTAACTAGGGAAGTTCAAAGTGAAAGCTTCAATTTCTTCATCATTCTACAATTACATCTCTGTTGTATTACGAAAGACAGTAGATCTTGAAGACAGTGACGGCAGCAGCAGTGTGAAAAGAATATGGGTTGTTTCTCTAAGTGATGACAGGAGGGATTAGCCAGGGATTGGTTTTGCTGTATGAAAGTAGTAATTTCTTCTTCACGGTACACCTACAAGTAGGAAAATTTCTGCTGAATGCATGAGTAAGTATAGAATCCGTGCTTATGGCATATAATGAATAACCTCTGCTAATAAAGTCAGCAATAAATAAATTGAGAGAAGAGAAAGGATAAATTAAGAATACCTTTGCACTGTAAGAAATAGATCTGATGTGTGAGTTGGTGCCTCGGAGATGGGGAAGGGAAAAACATCAAGTCAATTTCTTCTTTTGAAAGAAGTGTGGTATGCAAAATGACACAAGCAATTACACAGTCAGATTCATAAACAGAGTGTATACAAAGTCATGCATTGCAAACTGCTACAAATGAAATGAACCCCCAAATACAGCTAGCGTGCTGTGAAGGAAAAATCAAGCAAAGCTCAGAAAAATCCAGTAATATCAGATTAATTTAAAACATTACTCCTATTGCATCCTTTATAATTGGTTACTGCCGATGCCAATGCCAAATCCACAGAATGAGGAAGAGGATACACCACTTAAAGCTGAGCTGATGCTGTCCAGCAGCTTTGATCACAGGATGATGTTTAACTTCTAAAAGCAGCACAGGAAAATAAAGCCTTCTCTTCTAAACTCATTTTATTCAGATTTTGGTCCTGTGCCTGAGATGTTGACCAAAAGTACAGATGACAAAAAAGAATTCACATTTTGAACTGGAGAATTTATGGATATTGAATATTTCAGTGTAAGAAATACCTTTTAAAACTCTGTAGGCGTATGAAGGCCATTGCCAATGGAAATCAGGTGAGCACGGGTTATGAGATGATCAATAGAATAAAAGCAAACAGCCTCTCAGAAATTCAAACACAGCTTTATCATAATACCCTGGGAGATTGCAGCCCCTATCTGGCATCTACTGGAACAAAGTAATTATTAACATGGAATCCTTTCCACAGATTTACAGTAATCTCCAGTAGCACACACTACTCTAAGCAGAATTTTCACCTTCTAGAATGCTCGATTTAAGATAACAGCTTAATGCATTCAAATCGATACACAGATATGCTACTGAATAGATTCTGAGTTCTGAAACAAAGCCACCCAAACCAAAATGCAATTAGGTTGTTCATAAGCAACATGCCCAAACTAACATTATTACCTCAAAAGCTTCAGTTTGCATGAATATCAAATGCTTCCAATGCTTGGGAAAGCTTTTCTTTCACTGCAAAACAATTACCACACAAGTTAGAGTTCTGAGGGAACAGTGAGGCAGAACATTGTACTGATCTCAGTGTAATCAGACAATTCTGTAAAGCACTATGCATTTGCACACACAGAAAAGCCCTCCCTCACTCTTCAGGCTTTTACTTTATTATTTATTTCAAAATCTTTTTTTTTTTTTTTTTTTTGCCAGCCACCCTCCTCTCTATTCTTAATAGAGCAACCACAGAATTTCTCTGCAGTTCTCTCAAAGCCAGTAAATGGCTACAAAGAAAAGAGCCTCAAAATGTGTGAAATGACTTTCTAGGAAAAATCCCAGCAGCATTAAGAGATAAACTAACCTGTCCAAAATTTAACATGCTAAACAGCATACTGAAAAAGCAAAAAGGTGAAGTGTACTCTTATTTTTATGATGGCTTGATAGAAATACAGATCGTTTAGAAAGAAGAGAGGGTCACTACTCATTTAAAATTGGAAGATAACTGGCTTCACCCAACTATTTCTATTTCCTCTTGTGAGAATCCTAGAGGAGTCTGAGACTCTGTGCTTGCTTTTTTATGTAACAATCTCTAATTTGCAGAGGAGTGTTTACCTTCCGTAATCAGCTCTTTTTTGTTCTGACTTGCATGAATTTCTGCCGCCCTTCCAGATTTACTGGAGAACTACTCCACCATTCTTCAGACACACAATCTCTCCATCTTCCTTGATCTCAAAGTTCTTTCCTATGTAAGCTGTTCCAAAAGTAATGACTCATATTTTTTCACATAGAAGCTACAGTGGATGGATACAAAGACCACAATAACACCATTTGATAGAGCAAATTCTCAGCTACAAAAGACACTTTTTCAACACAGTCACCACTGTTAGTTCTGCATTTTTGCCAGTGATGAATCAGAGCTGCACGCTGCACCCATGAACATCTGCACCAGTGGAGGTGACCCACTGTCTCTGTCACCACTGCTGAAGCATATCACCCACTGCCTCAGTGTACTCGCACCCACTGTTTGGGCTCCATATTCAGCAAGCATCCATGAGTGCCATTTTTTCTGCATGGAGGAATTCAATGACATCTTTGTTTCACACACGCTTCCATGACATCTGCCATTGTGTCGGACTGCCTCTCTGCTGTCATCTGTCACATGGCAGCAACATGGAATGGAACAGCATCAGGAAGGTTCATCTCTACTGCCATACCGCCAGCATCCACCTCTGACATCATGGGCCAACATAATAAACCAGGAGGCATTACTTTCAGAGCAGCCCTCAAGTCTAGTTTGTAGAACAAATTACTTTTGAATTGTAGAAATATTTATTGTACAGTTATGAATGCAAGTACTCCAGGGAAAAAAAAAAAATCAAACTATAATAACCCTTTGCTGTTCCTGTTCCCTTGTGATGTTTCAAATAAAGCCATTTGGGCTTAAAGATCCTAATAAGAATTTAATTAAAAACTTGAAACATGCACATCTCCAAGGGTCTATTTTTCCCTCATTAATTTAACAACAAAATGCACCTGAATATGAATTCAAATATTTCTAACACATGCAAGTTAGGCATCCATAGCAGTCCAAGCAATCCCATTGTTATTGTTCTGAATGCTATGAAACTTTAGAAGTAGAAAGAATTTCAGCATATACATCATCACTGATTCTGAAGGAAAAAAAAAAAAAATCAAACTAGAATGGAAAATTTAATTTTTTTCCTACCGATCAAGTATCTTGGGAGGGATATATATGGGTGCTCTAGCAGGAAAAACAAATGCTCTTACAGTTTTGCTCCTTATGACATGAAAATGACCTTTAAGAGAGATCTTTCAGTGTTTTCAGGGGAGGATTCTGAAAGAATATTAAATACATCTATGAAAAACAACAAGAAATATAAGATTTGCTTTTGGAGCAAGTCAGCCAGTATCGTCACCAGTTACAATTACTGAGAAAGGACCTCATTATTTTTGGCCAAAAAAGAAGGAAAAAACAAACAAACACCACCTCAAAGGGAAATATACCATTACGGTTCTAAGCCCAGCACCATCCATCTGACACCTATTTGGAATAAGACAAAGCAAGCTAAGCTTTCTAACCTCTTTCTAAATATCAGCCTTGAGGCTATCTGTTCCTGTTGAGGCTTTGTAAAAGTCTCTTATTTATCTCAGTGCACATTAGGGAGTTTTCATGAAAGGAGAATTTATTTTCAAGAGCCTGTGCTGGGACAGAAGCAGTTTCTTTTCTCTCCACCATTTTCATTTACTAATTTATATCTGCTGATTTTGTTAATCTGAAAAGAAATGACAAACGTATATGAACTTACATTTAAAAAATGATTTTCTTAAGAATATTTATATTTCTTATCTACAATGTCTAATCTTAGTTACGAGGAAAGTCTGACATCTCATTAAGTGATTTTGATCCTCCTCTTTGCTGCCATCTGTAGGTAACTCAAAGGAGACAAGTAGCAAGTTTAAATCTGCTCAGATACCAGCCCTATGATAGGGACCTGTAGCGATGGGAAAGCATGCTGTCCTTGTTCCCTATCCTTCCTGATTTAAACATTTCTGAAGAAAGATAAAAAGAAAAAAACAGAGATGTAGACCATGCTTTCAATTCCATTATGATACATTCTACAAATCTGAAATGAAACTAATTAGACCAGGAATTGAAATATTTGATTTAATGACTGCACAATTTTAATACATAAAAATAGATACTTAGGAATGAACAAGTTTATACAAACCAGATTTCTTTTGTATGTTACAAAACAATGATGGAGAATAAAAAAAAAATTGCTGGATTACAGGCAAGACAAAAGAACGAAAAAACCATCATTGAAGAAAAGTTTTAAAATGATCAGAGGCTTGTTTCATAAATACAGTGCAATGCTTTCATTTAACAAATACAAAAATTTACTATTTATCAACATCAGGAAATATATAAAATGTTATTGAATGACCATCTTATTTAAAAACCAATGCAAATACAATAGCTTTTTTAGAATTCTGAGGTAATATTACACAGTAAAATCAAAAAAGCATTAATAAATAAAACTAAACTCAAGGCAAAGTGCAATTCAGTGAAAATAAAATAAAGCTTTTATTTAACAATAATAGATAAATAGTTATTAAAAGTGGGCTTCAGCCATAAAAAAATATTTTGGCTAATTTGCCACATTTTCAGATAAACTGTATAGATAAGTATTCACAAACCAACATTCTGTAAGCCCTGTTCTATAAAGAAGGGAAATGGAAGGGGTGTTTGTATACCCACGTTCAGCTTTTAGCAATTTCAAATTTCTGTCCTGATCATTCAGTGCAGCAATGAATGTCTCATTTTTTTCTTAACGTGAAATACTGTAAATTCAAATTTATTTTAAATCTTCATTTGAGAGCAATAATGCAAAATGCATGAGTTTGAAATGCTGCTTTTAAAATTCGCTGTGCTAACCTAGCTTTGCCCCAGGCTGAAGTCAATAGAAATTTTAATATCAATTTTGAGTAAAGCACAATGAATAGTGCCAAATATCATAAAATACTCTACTATTTATCTCTCCTTCAATAAAACTGTAAAATCATCAGTAACTTCTCCAGGAAGGAGAATAAAATAAAATTCACACTTAGCTGCTGAAGAAACTGCACAACAGCTCTGAAACTACAAATTAGGAAGATTAATTTGTTGATCATGTGAAACTGTTGATTGTAGAAGAATAATGTACTCTTATTACAAATAAATAATTGAGCACAGACACTACAAGCTATTTAAGCATCCAACTTCCAGCAGAAGTCAGCTGGGAAGACTGACAAATTGGATGCCTAAATATTTTGAAAGATCTGGGCCTTGTTCAAATGAAAGAAAGATTCATAAAATACACAGTAGCTATTCATATTATAAAGGTTTCTATACTGCATACTCATAAATTCTCTCAATTTAATGAATGAAACCTAGACTTACAATTACACTTTCATTTTGGAACCAGTATCTTCTCCAGCTCCTAACTTACTAATTCAGAACACTCAGACCAAGAATTATTTTCATATAGCTGTAAAGTGAAAACCACAAAAAAATTGTCTTTAAATGCTGGCCTTAAGGCTAAAGACATCTTCCACATTCTTCTGTTATTGTATTCACTCTTTCCATCACTCACTTAACACTTTCATAAAAGTTCCTGACAAAATGATTGGCAAGTAGACTACGTATCACTTTTCTGTGTGTTGCACATTTCGTTATGTTCCTGAAATTTTTCAGTGTATGTGGAATTTACGTTAAATATCTGGCTTTGCTTACTATGACACTAGAGTAGATCTGATTAGTCGCCAGCAGTTTCAAAGAATGAAATGGAAAAGTTGCTCAGTACCTGTAGCTTGGCCTCGATTCCCTCATGGTGAATAAAGGACCTCTTAACATTCTCTGTACAGTCGATGCAGTTGATTTGTAAAAGCCAAATATAGAACATCTAAAACCTCTTATTAATAAAAAATATTTTTAGCAGTAAATGGAACTATCAAAACTCTATTTGTTCACAGGCACTTATTTACATGCTTCTTACACAGCCTGTTTAACTGAGAGGGAAACCAGAATATTAAAACTGCATACATTTTAAAAAGACTAAAATTCCTATTTGCTGAATTTGAAAAAATATGGCTACATGCTGTAAGTTACATCTTTTCTACTATTTATGTTAATGGAAAACATACCATCACTGGGACTAGCTAATGAAGAAATATTCTTTATACTATTTCCCAGACGAATACACATGATGTAAAGTAATTACAATTAAAGATAAAGTGCCATTAAGAAAAAATGGAAACAACATACAACTTGAAATTTTCTTCATCAAGTTTCTTTTATCAAATAGGCTAGGTTTTAGTATGAAGAAAATTACTTTCTGTGACAAAGCAAGCAGTGAATGTATTGCCGTTAAGGAGAGAACCACACACTTAATACTGAATTAAAAAATATGTATGTTGGATAAGACTTGCACAGTACCAAGACAACAAAAAGCTTAAAGGCACAATTAGAGGAGAGTGAGTGCTACATAACAATGCTGTTTTTGAAGTATCTTGTTTTATTCTAGGCCAAAACCTTCTGCATTTGAAATTCCAATGATCAACTTTTGCTTCAACTCTTTCTTGTTCTTGTAAGGAGGGAGACAAAGCTGGTTGAAACAGGTATGGGCCACAGGCAACCTAGAAGAAAAACAAAGTCCATCTCTTATTTAATAACATAACAGAAGCAGGGCACTGTCATCTGCCAGTGTATTTTTATTTAAACAATATTTAAGTAAAAAACTGAGTAAAAGAAACATCACAAATAGCACTACCCATATGCACCTCAAGTATTTGGATGAAATTTGCCTGCCTCTTCCTCCCCAACTTTCTTTCTCTGCCTCTTACAATTAAAAAAAATTGTAAACATATGTATCCAGGTTTTTCAAAGTCCAAGTAGCCATATGACTTTAAAATTAGTTCTTCTCTATACAAAATTTGGGTATAATTAGAATTCACAACATGAGGGAGAAAGCTTGGACGCAGAGTTGGTATAAATAAGCTAGATGAACCGCAGTTACTCTAAGGACAGAAATCAGAAAGTTTTGTCAGGTAAAAGGCATCCTAACAGACATATGTCTCCGGGAAGAGCACTGAGGAGCTGAGGGAAGCCCTGGAAAAAGAACAGTTCACAAGCTCTGGTATTAGACAGCAGCATTCTAAGTTGCAAGTGTCTTCTGAAAGTTGAGATCTGAATGTTGTCAGTTAGGAATAATTGAACAGTTTCTTTGAATTCCATGTCTCAAATGTAAATGCTGACTAAAAAATTGAATCTAACATAATAGATTTATGCAATCAATAAATTTAATAACAGTCTGAAGATAAATTAATGAACATTGTGCATTAGTTTGCTCTTCTTTAAGAAGACATCCAAAAGTAATAAGGACTCGCAGGATATAATTAAAAAGAAAAAATTGAAAAAAAAACACCAACGGCAGAAGACTACTTACCAATTAGTAGATGTTTCACTCTTCGAAATCTTGAAATTCAAATCAGCCATACCTCCCACAGGTACTCTATCACTTCCTGTAGCAAAATGCAGTAACTTTTTTTGAAGGTCAAGAGAAAATCCAAGTACAACATCCCAGAAGTATCTGTGTTCAGGAGCAGGAGAAGAACATGATTTATGGTGCAACATCCTGACAAAGACATATTAGGATATAATACAACAAAAAGTATATGATGAATTGACACTTATTAGAAATTATTTAATGTAATATATAGGATATTAGTACTACCCTAGTATTCAAGGTTAAAAAATTTCTCAAGCACTTGAAAGGCACCAAGTTTCAATAATTTTAGAATCATGTATTGGCAAATGATGCCCAAATCTGTTTTATTAAAGAAATAAAACTGCTTAGTATGAAGTAGAACTGATGAATAATGAAATTGAATGAGAAAATTTTTTATAGGACTGAATAACAAAATTAAAGACTCAGGTTTCACTTTCAGGGATCTTAAGCTTAAAAACAAAAACAAAAAAACTCATATCTTCATTTTCAACTACATCATTTTAAAAGTTTCTTTCTAGCAACTTTATGATCCACTTTCAGATTACACAAGAAGATTAATCCAACAGCCTACCATGCTACGCTGATTTCAAAGTTTAGAAAGGAAAAAACCATTAAGCTTACCGTATAGTAACATCAGTTTTCTGGTAGCCCTCATATTGGGTACTTCGCTGTAAAGCAGACATATCCAGCTCAGGACTACCACAGACAAGAATTTCAACTTCTTCAGGACGAAGCAGCTGCCAGAATTTAAGTATAAAATACTTCATTTCCATTAAAGATGAGAAATAATGCTACTAGAATCAGATTAACTTTTTTGCATGATTGAAAAATTAAAAGATTATTATTCAGTACAATTTATAAGTTAAATGTATAAATGTATACATATTATTTTTATAGAAAAAATGCTTCAATTGAAATTGGAGGAATCTTTTATTATGGTTAATGGATAACAAATTTTAGTATATTCCTTTTGTTCTTCATTTTCATTCTTACATTTATTGTAATAACTTGTCTTCTGATTAGATTTCAGTGAGATAGTGAAGAAAATAAAGTTTTACACCTGGAATTCAGAAAGAGTATCTTGATTATTATTATTATTTTTTAAACAATCTCCATTACACTTGCACTGAATATCTTGATGTAATCAGCAGCAGCTGACAGAACTTACTCTTAGTTGTACTTACTGCTGTGCAAAGCGTGTAATCATAAATCATGGTTTGTAATCACTAATCTTACCACAGTAGAACCTACTTCTCATTCATTTACTATATCATCTTTTAAATGCCTGAAAATAATTCATTGCGCTTCAATGGATTATCATTCTTCCTGAAACTTCCCTGCAGTAAGTTACATTTCACTTTACTGAAAGTCTGCCATACTTGTTTAACTTCCTAGGAATGTGGAAATTCTCATGAAAATTGTAAATGCCTCGTTTCTCCTTACTGCAGAAGGAACAACATAAAATACAAAACCAAAAGGATTTCAAAAGCCAAATATGACTGAATAAACAAGAATATTTAATCTCAATCTCATTGAAAGTTCTTTCTGGAAAAAGTAATGTGATTTTCAGAGAAGTCACTCAAGACAGACAGACATACTTGCTCTACTGCTCACAACTGCAGTAAGTGCAGACAAGTTCTGTAAACACACACGCCAGCCTTTGAATTGTCTGTGAATACGTACTGATCAGCACAACACGGAGCTTTATTTAACTGTAGTATTCTATTAAAAGCAGTTATCAGCTGATTGCCAACTTAATTCTCCTTTTCAACTACACCCGTTGACTAAGATTCTTTATGAATCCTCAAGCAATCCAGTTGAGCTACTAAGAGTAAGTATTATAATTTAGGTCATGATCACATATTTGAAACAGAAGTGATATTTTCTTTCATTCTTACCAGTAATGCATACGAAGCACAGACGCTATGAAATCCATAATAGAAAGCTGCAAATTGTTTGTAGATTGATTTGTTCAGAAGAAAATCAACATAAAGTTGCACATACTCTAAAAAAGAGAAAAAATAATGTATTTTGTTAGACTGTAATAGTTTAAATAGCCATTTTCAGTGCTCTTCAAAATTGCACTGAATTTTAAAAAATGAATGTCTTTTGTTTTATATACTACTAAATTGTTAGGCATACCAGAAAGGACTACAGGAATTTAGTTTTCATACTTTGTTAAGCAAAACTAATAAGTGAAAAATTAATAAAGTTAATACTGTCAAATGTGTGTAGCTAACACGTATTGAAGTACCTTTCCTATTTTGATTTGTGACAGGAATTTTATCTCCATTTGGCTTTAGGTTGTAAGATTTTATAACACCAAATTCTTCCTGAAAAACCTGGAGAAAGAGAGAACTGAAATTCAGTACTTTAAGCATACAAATACTTGTAAATTACAAAGCTTGTATTCATAACTCTATGTTTTTCTTCTCTCTCTTAAGAATGCTTTAATCCTGTCGATTTTTTTTCAGTTAAATAATACAGTTTTCAACAAAGTGCTTAAGAAATCCCATTTACAAAGTAGAAAAATTGTCCCCGTTAAACAGTGACCTACCAAACTGCAAGCTGTGGATTCAAAATCAAAGTCTAAAAGAATACATTTCTAAGAACAATTTAGGAATATCAAATATAATTAAGAAGGTGTTTCTTCCACTGTAGCTCTCTAGGAACTCAAAAACAGCTACTTTACAAGAGTTCTCACATAGTTTCATAATAATGAAATAGAAAGCTGAGGCAAAAAAGTCAATACAACTCCAACATAAGTTCTTAAAACAGCATGAAATTTTGCTAAATAACATGCATCCTAAAACAATGAATAACTGAAAAAGCCTTTCTTGACTGAATAGAAATACACTCATTTCTTAGATACACAGGTTTGGCAGAACTATTATAACTTGAACAAGCAAGTATAGGCTATGTGAGACTTCCTGGAAAAAGCATGTAAATTAACAGGAGTAAGCTCTGTCTAGCACTAGAGTTAGACAAAAAAGGGACTGTTTTGCAGACAGATTAATTCCAAAAGCAGATCACTGACTGCAAAGTCAATGTCAGAGCAAGCAAAAAGCTGTAATGGTACCAGTAGTTGGGCATGGATACCTGGCAGTCAGTGCTCAAGTCCACTTATACTGTCAAGGAACAACAGCTTAAAGCCCCATAATGAAGCCAGCCACTACGTGCCCCAAGCACTAGACTGGTTCTTGAAGCAAACTTTAATGCTCATGTAGGTATATTACAAACAAAACCCAATCATACAGCAGTAGACCACTCCACTGCAGAAATATTGGTAAAATTACTGAACTAGTTTGAGAATCACTTATAGTTGAGTACTTAATGACCTGAAAGGTAGAGTAAAAATCCTCTTCAACATTGCCTTCATAGGACAGAAGTTCACTCAGTCCATGGGCTAATTCCTACAATACAAGTACAAGCTCTTTAGCAAACCCACAAAGCAAACTGATGTACTTTGCAAGCACATGCCAAAATTACTCTTTATAAACTACCTTGGAAAAAGTTGCATATTCAAAATAAGAATGTAGAAAAACAACAAAAATGCCACACTGCTTAATCACAGTACTTAGAAGAGTTTGGTTTTTTTTTGGTTACTGAATTTCACATGAACTTAAAATTTGCCTTTTAACATGGAAAAGATGTTAACAATGACACATCAAATTTTGTTATTTTAACTTAAGCAAACCTACAAAAGTTCAGCTGTGCAAGAAAACATGGAGAAGTTACATTTTCAGCAGAAAAAGAGAGACTATATCAGTTGATGATCAAAATAAGAGTCATTCTGAAACAGTTTATAATTCAAGCATTTATTAAAAATAGAACAGGTTCTAAACAGGTAATTTATCCCCTAAGGCTTAATACTTACAGGCATTATCTGAAATAGGTCATCTAATGTGATGTCACAGATGCCCACAAGTGTGTTATGATCACAGGGAACAATAGGAGGACTCAACAATTTCTTGTAACAACAAGGTGGAAAACGAATATCCAAGGTGATGCTATTATAGACAGCAAGGCCCATAAGCTATACGTGTCAAATTTTAAGGGCAAAATCCACATGTATTTATCATGGTTAACATTTTAAAAAATTTAGATAAATATTTACAATTTTTACTGAGCATACTCTAAAACATGGCAAAGAAACTGAAGGAATGGAAGTTATTTAAATTTTTTTGGACTGCTGTTATTATAAATACTATTACAAAATTGCGTTTTGTAAATTGTAAATGTAAAATGGTCAAATGAAGCACATTGCCAAAACACTTGAAAATCTTTATCGCATTCTGTAAAAGCATTTCCTGAAGAAATTGTTCCAACATACTCTTATGAAAAAGCTTTTTGTTCTGCTTTTTAAAAGAGTACTATAGATGTGTACATCTTTAATCAAAAAACATCCAGAGAGCTGTCAATATAGAAATCTTTATTTGAAATACATTTAAAAGTGTAACGGCAAGCCTGCACTGGCACAACAGCTCATCAGCTAGCACACCGAAGCACACCTGGTAAGACACTGTAATTCCAGAATTTGGAAACTGGGGACAAGAAGAGAGTTAGGCTATCACTCTCATTTAGAAAGATCTGCATATACTAGAAGCAGATCCTTCCTCTTAGACTTGTATTTGTTAATACCAGGTTTGCTATTACAGTCTTCTGTACTCATATTAATTAGTACCGAATAGCTTCAGTTTTACACACTGCACTTTGTTAATTTTTTATTTCATAGTGAAGACTCTATCCTCAGCAAGTCATTGCATACAGCCATCAAGGACTAGTCATAATAAATGAGAAAATGTCATCCGTGTCCATATGATATTTAAAGAAGGCATAAACATAAAAAACAACAATTACCTGAATTAATAAATCATAGTAAAAGCCTGAAATTATTATAAAAAAATAGAAGAATCTGGTTCATGATTCATCTTCTTACTAGTAAACTGGAGGCATAACACACCACCTCATCTTAGTGGAGTTATAGGACTATATCAGCACTAATCATTCGTCTGAGGACTCCATAAATTAGTGCAACAGAAGATCTAGAAAACAATTTTATGCTCAGGTGGAAAACACCCAGTTTAAAACAAAACAAAACCAACAGAAGGTCATATATGTCCCAGTAGGAGCTTAAAGAACTTAAAGATTAACAAACCCAGGGACAATTATATTTACTGAATAAAAGCCAGACGTGAAGTACATCAAAAAAATATTTTTTTATACAACAATAAAGTTGCATATATAATCTTAATTCCACTATTTTCTAACTGCAAAATGTACCATGTGCCAATAACAACCATTTCCTTCCTATTTTTACTTTAGTCTACTTGCTTAAATGTCATTTTTTATACATTTAAAATGGAACGTACTTGTACCTACGTCAGAATGAGTTCTGATCAGACCTTCATGTCTTACTTTATCCCCATAATTAAATCACTGCTTCTTTACAGTGGAACAAAAGGATACAGCTCCAACTAGTCGGAATTCAGAATAGTTATCACACTTAAAGCTGCTGAACCAATGGCAGTGAGAGTCCTTGTGGTATGTGAACATGCCTGCAGAAGAGGAAAGCTGCACTTCAAAAAGCCATCTTCACATGCCTCATAATCTGTGCAGTCAGAAACGTAACTGACCAACTAACATTTATCCTGCTGCAATGCGAGTTGATCTCCTCCCCCCTCCCTGCTGCAACAGCAGATGACAATCATAGAAAGTGTTGGCATGAATCCCACGATACAGATACCACAAACTTTACCATCTTAGAATTGAAAGCTGTAAAATTTTATCTTGTGAATATACGAGCATCAAATTTGTACTTATCCATCTAAAAAGTATACTAGACTAATTTAAAAAAGCCACACCACAAATACCCTAAAAGCACCACCCACTGGTCTAAATTACAAGCTAGATCCCATCAAAATCAAAACTGTAAACTAGCTTGACTGATATTTGCTTTAAAGTACAGCTTGTTCTGTTTTAAAGAAAGCAAAAAACTGCACAATGAACTCACATAAAAGCTTTAAGATACCCAGGCACGAAGCAGCTCTCAGACAAAAAAGACAGTGCACTCTAGGTTAAGAGTACACTAACAGCTTCTGACAAGCATCATTTATAACTTAACAACAGTAGACTATACAGTCCCCTCCCAGGGGATGAGAACATTTCTGAACTCTTCCCACACTTGGCTTATAGCCATATCAATGAAAGAATTTACATTTTAAAAAGAGGAAGCCTGCCAGAGCTGATAAAAACTCTTGAATGTTTTCAAACTCATCAGTTACCAAGTTCTACTGACAAGATATTTTTATTAACAGAATTATCAAACCTACAAGATTATTATTTCTCCACAAAGAGCCTCACTAGAGTAAGAACTTTAAGCAAATAATGATTCCAGCAGACCTGAGCAGATACTTCTGAACCTTTAGAAGGAGGCTAATAAACAATCAAGCACCGTGCATTTGAGGGGCACAAACTTTCAGACAAAGACACACAAGCTCTCAGATTCTAACAAGCACTATCAGAGGTGTTATGCTGAAGTCCCTGGAAATCAATGTTTCTAAATTTAAAGTCAGCTTGGGAACACTTTAACACATTATAACGTTAGTAATGTATCCACACAGAGCTGAGGAAAGCTGACTCATTTGTAAAAAATTAGTGTGGGAAAAAACACCCAGTTCCACCTACAGCAATATACAAGTACATTAAACTGGCTGCTTTAAGAACGTTCATTCATGCCTTTGGCTTCCTATTTACTCAAAAACTCTCTTCCCCTCCCCCCCACCTTGGATCTGCAAATACTTGTCTTACTCTGTAAAACAGTTGATGGTCTTCTCCCATTTGACCAGACATAAATCAAGACCCTGTCTCTGGATACAGCTGGAAACACTAACACAACAGATACACCATGAGAAAAAACTTCAAGGGAATACGAACTGCTCGTCTCGAATCTACTCTCCTTAGCACCCAGTATGCTCACTAGCCTAGGGATACCAACAAACCACAACAATGAGTCTCTGATAACTGAAATAATATTTAGCATGATTAAAGTCTTAAAAAGTTGAATCTCAATTCTGCAACTCTAAATTGATTAGAGCTTTGTTCACCCTCTAATTTTGTTCTACAAGACAAATGAAATTTCATTTTTTCAGCCATACTTGAACCTCCTTGTCGAAAACCAAGATCTTGAAAGCTTTTCAGTACTTTTCACACTCTTTTGCTATCTCCTATTCCAAAAGCTCTTCCCATACTCATGGGATAAAATTTTAACTTGCCTGCTTTCATTTCTTACATCAATTAGTAAATGATCAGCCTAGTACTGGAATAATGAATAATCCCTATCCACCACTGTTTCAGCAATTTAAAATCAATAGATTTTCAAGCTGTACTTAACATACAGACTCACCATAGTCTGGGTGAAAAATCTGGCGAATGAGGAGGAGAAACCATTCTTTTGTCAGGCCACCCATATCAAGACCAGCTTCTCCTACAAATGTGACTTTCAACTTCTTTTTCAAATCTGCCCTCTTCCTTGTTAGCTATTATAAAATACGCAGGGAGAAAAATATAGAGGAGATTTAACGTACTACCAGTATTTCTATTCATAGAGAACATGCCTCTCTTTCTATATCACTCTTGCTTTGTTTAAACTAGTAATTTGCATCACAAACTGTAGATCACCAGTTCGCTATTTATGCTACTATCAAGGATCTGGATCCTTCACAGTTTGATACTCATGCATTGTATTCATAAGACAAAAATTGAAAACAGATGCATACACTCTGCACATGCCATGTAGTATTCAAACATATTTTCACTATGGGCTTAGTTACAGAACAGTTTAAGGACAGAAAATAAAGTCCTGATTTTTTTAATCTATTTTAGCAGCACTCCTACTGTGATGTGGTAATTCAGTTTCTTTTGTTTTGAATTACATAGCTACATTTCCTGTCTTAGCACAGGAAGATTTAAACATGACTTACCAAACTGTATTCTAAGTGCAATAACAATTTTGCAGCAACACACCATTTAATTTCATTTTTGATACCTCATCAAGTGAATCACTAACGAGGTGTGTCCTCCTCACTTTCACATTTAGGAACAACATATTCATGTCAGGTTTCTGCCTGCGAGAGACTTTATCCACAAGGCTTTGCTATTTGAATGAAAAAGAAACATGCATGTAACAACTTCATTTAAAAAACAAAGTGCCACTCTTGTTAAACATAAGAAGTCCTTATCATCCTGCATTACAGAAATTATCCTAATATGACAGCTGCATCAATACATTCTGAGAGATAGAAAGCGATGCAATCTCTTTTCTGGTGCAAACAACATTCACATAATGTAAAACTATCGGGATACATAAGTAGGGGGTAATTGTATGGCAAACTTTTAAACTCCCTAAATAGTTAAAAACACCCATAGGATTCTGGAGAATGACTTGCACATTACTTAGCTATTCACAAGATACATATACCAAGCCAGGAAGGGAGACGTGGCGGTGCCACATACTGAGTAAACCAGTAACTGCTAGCACCTGATGAAAGTTACCACCTAGACAAGCAGACAAAGCCTCTTTCAATATGTAAGAGGTTGGAGTACCTGTTCTGCACCTTGTAAATACACAGCTGTGTCTTGGTCTTCCATAACAACATATATTCACAGAATAAAATAGGAACAGACCAAAATACTCAGGGTATTTTTCTTCATTAGATTCTGAATTAGATCATTCACTTAGCATCATGGTTTCTTATCAAACCCAGAGTATTATGTTAGTTTCTCCAAAAGAAAAATGAACCAAAAGAAAACCAAGAACACATTTAATTGCAACCCTTTTCCCCAATAGTGGTATTTAAAAGCATCTTAAAACTGAGCCTATTAAAATGAAAATTACTGAGATGATCTAGCAGGGACCTTTGTAGACTAGTAGCAGTAAAATGGATTACATTTGTTTTTCCAGATTAAAAGTTGTGATGAAAGGCTGATGGAATATTTAGCTAAGAAAAATTTATAAAATTGATTAGACAAACCCATTTATCACTAAATGACTTACCCGTGCAATACTTATCATTTGTTGTTCTGAATCTCTTTGAATAATAACTTTTTTCGCTGCTATAGAGATAATAAATGGGTGTTGACAGAAAGAAAACCTGAATGATGAGAAAAAAAGATAAAACATTCCGTTTTTAGCACCTAGCATAGTATTTGCTTTTTAAGAAAATATGAACAAATTTTTACATTATCATTCACTATTGTGGATTCATAAACAGCCTGGGTTGAAAAGGACCACAATGACTACCGAGTTTCAACCCCCTGCCATGTGCAGGGTTGCCAACCACTAGATTGGGCTGTCCAGAGCCACATCCAGCCTGGCCTCGAATGCCTCCAGGGATGGGGCATCCACAACCTCCTTGGGTAACCTGTTCCAGAGTGTCACCACCCTCTGTGTGAAAAACTTCCTCCTAATAATCTAAGCTAAACCTCTCCTGTCTCAGTTTAAGACCATTCCCCCTTGCCACTATCCACCCTCATAAACAATCATTCTCCTTCCTGTTTATATGCTTCCTTCAAGTACTGGAAGACCACAATGAGGTCTCCCCAGAGCCTTCTCTTCTCCAAGCTAAACAAGCCCAGTTCTCTCATCCTTTCCTCATAGGAGTGCTCCAGCCCTCTGATTATCTTAGTGGCCCTCCTATGGACCCACTCCAAGAGCTCCATGTCCTTCCTGTACTGGAAGCTGAGCAGAGGGGAACAATCACTTCTAATTTAGAATAATTTAGAAATAGTGTTTTTTTGTTTTTTTTTTTTTAATAATTGCATGCATAGATAATAAATTAGAACTCAAATTGTTTAGTTAGAAATGCTACTAGGAATTCTACTTAGTTGTGATAAACATCCTGAATAAAATTCTAAAATTGTTTATCAGTAGATCTAACAAATTTGAATTTCTTCAATTACAAATGTCAAGAAGTAATTTCTGCTTTAAATATTAATTTCTAATTGCTACAATGAATTGAAAAAAGTGAGATTATTTTATTAAATACAAGCCGGATAGTTATCTCAGCGTAACAGTCATAGGTACACAGCAGATGTATTTCTTGGCTTATTTGTCTCTCCGGTTTCCAAAGGCACAGATTTTCTTCAGGTCCTTCTGATTTAACTTAGGGCTACAAGTGCTCAGGACTTCTAGATCACATGACAGCTATATTCCACCGCAGTCAAAGAATTTTTAAAGTTTTCTGAAATCATCAGGATAAAAGCCTTTTTTGGTCACTTGTTACTCTATTAAGTCTTCTGCTGATTAGCTCACACATTGCCTAACAAATTCACATTGAGATATTCGGAGCTTGAGATTCTGTTGCACCTTGACTTCAGAATGTGTGGGCATTGAACACTGCCTGTGAGGAGCTCTGTATCCTAATGTCTTTAGGAAACAAAGGAAAATGAAAAAAAGATTCTCAGTCTGCTGAAAATCCAAATACAGAATGTTTTATCAAGAAGTGCCAAGATAGTTGGAAGAACTACATATTCCAAAATATTTCATATGCAAGGTAAACCAGAATTTCTTCATACTCATCCTTCTTAATTCTAAGTATTCAGATTTGATTGTGATTTATTTTTTTAAATAGAACAACATAGATTTAGATGTAAAATTGGAAAAAAAGTAGTTATAACACAGTACAAGAACTTACTGTAAATATAATACAGCTTGTCTGCACTACTTCCAGAACTATGCATCATAAAAAATTTGTTTTGATATATACTGATTTTCCAGCATCCCAGCTAACTGAAAAGAAGCAGGTGGAAATCTCACAGCTCTCTTGTAAGCTTGGATGTGGATGCCAAAGCAGCCAGATGGTGCTCATGTAAAAAATAAATAAATCAATCAATCTGAAGCTCAGCAGTATAAGGCAGTATACAGATTCCAGCACTTTGACTGAGACTACACAAAGCCTACTGTGCATTTACTGCTGTCATAGCTGTTTTTCCCTTCCTTTCCAAGTAGATCTTAAAACTTAGCAGAAAGATTTATTGGCTATTTCCACATTTCTAGATCATACTTCTGGCTGCCCTGAACCAGTAAAGACTTAAGTTTCATGTAACAGAAATAAGTACAACTGATATCACTGGAACAAATGGTCAGGCCCACATACACACAGGACATTTATCTACCATCCTAAAGTGTTAAGTACGCATACAACACTTTCTATGAATGTGCAGAAGTTAAAATATGTTTGTAACAACATGCAATTAATAAACAGGCTCTGCAGAATCTATGCCAATAAACAATAAACTCATGTTATTATGAACATTTTACATCTTTTCTCCAATTTGCAAAGGTAGAATTAAATTTATTACAGTCAACCCCACATCCACGCAGTTTCTGCAAGTAGAAGTTACATCTTTCCAATAAAATGCAGTATTTAATATGGCTATGTATACACAGATATGGCGTGTACACCATGTATACAAGTACATATGTGGTGCTTTGACATACTACATACGGGAAAAGAAACAACCAAGTTTCCCTTACCTGTGAGAATTTCCATAACATTGCCAGTTATGATACTCTTCCATAAGATCAATATGATCAAGAGTAGAATTATAGAAATCCGTATATGAAATAATAGGAGGGCTGATCAGACTATTTGCAGCATCTACAAAGAAAATACAAGAGTCTTTCAAAGTGCTCCTTGGATTGAGTACACACATGCTTTCTAAGCATTAGGAGCAACACTGAAAGAAAAGAAACTAAGACAAATGGGCTACTGGTAACTTGGTTTCAGTCTTAAATACAGCACTACAAATATGATGTTACACTTCATGACAATGCACTGATAGCTGTAAAAGCACTAATTGCTAAGATCAGTCTGATTATGATAAGAGAAATGTAATACACTGTATATTATTTCCAACCACAAGATCAACTTTTCTATGGCATTTGAATCTAGCCCACCTAATGACATGCACAAAGTTAAGATAGAGAATGATGTATTCTGCTGAAATCAACGAAAAATGATAGATTTCTTAAACATTTTCACTTAATGTCAAATGTACCAATGGATATAATATCTGCATGCTTTCCACTTTAATATCTGTTTGAATTTGATGTCTAGTTGCAAAGAGGATGGAAACAGAGAAGCACAACAAATGATGTTTTTCCTCATTTGACTGCTATACCACAAGTACAAAAATTTACTACTCAACAAATGAAGAAAAACTAATTCACACTTAAATAGCCTCACTATGTAAAATTCACGTAACACATAATAAATTTTCTCTAAATAATTTAATTTTGATCATTCAGGCAGGAAGCAGTGTATTTTGAATTACTAAATACCTTTACCACAGTTTTATATGCACAGAAAGAAATAAGCAACTCTTACATATGACTACAGAACACAAAAGTCTTGGTTTTGGATACTGTTGAACTTGTGTGTTCAAGCTGCCCCTGTGGATAGGTAGGACTGTACAGGATTCTTGTACAGAAAAGTTGGATGGTTTTTTTTTTTTGTTTGTTTTTAAGAAGCCAGGGATATGAAAACACTCTTGCCCCAGTCAATTTTCTTGATGCTTTCCTTTTCTCCTAGAAAACATGAAGTAAATAAGGGTTTTCTACCCCTCAACAAAAGGGTACTGACCTCAGGCGTTCCATTTCCATACTAAAAGCTCTGAGCACTGAACTACTGAGGGTTGGACAATGAGAAAGTTTGTATCTGCAGTGACCACAGTTGCTGTGTTCTACACTGAACTGGACATAAAATTATTTTTTCCAGACTGTAATTTTGAACTTAGGAGGCATAAACATTGTTTAACTCACCTAGATGTTAAAAACATCCATGAGGCTAAGCTTATTACAGAAGAAATTCTAGCAATTGCACATTCAAAACCACTTCTTTTATAAATCTATGGGAAACTTTTTCCATTGCTTACCTCTGCGGATTTTTCTTTGAATGATCTCCTGTTGTTATTACAGGAAAATGATGCCAGAGCAATTATTGTTTACAAAAAAAGTGAATATGAGGGCTTGCTAATAGATGCCTTTGCCTTTTAAATTTTGGCACTCTTTTCTATTGCAGTTCATACTGTGCCACCACCAACACCCAGCTTTCCCCCCTTGAAAAGGAGAGGTATAAAACACAGACTGTAGCCAGAGAGTGGTGGTCAATGGCTCAATGTCCAGTTGGAAATCAGTGCCCTTCAGGGGTCAGTATTGAGACCAGTGCTCTTTAACATCTTCATCAACAACACCAGCAGTGGGAATGGATGCGCCCTTAGCAAGTTTGCAGATGACCAAGCTGAGTGGTGCAGTTGACACATCCAAGAGACAGGATGCCATCCAGAAAGACCTAGACTGGCTGAGCAGTGGGCACAGGTGAACTTCACAAGATTCAACAAATTCAAGCGCAAGGTCTTGCACCTCAGTTGTGGCAACCTCCATTGAGAGTACAAGCAGAGGAATGTAAGAAGAGCACAACCCTGATGAAAAAGACCTGGGGGTACTGGTGGATGGTAAGCTGGACATCAATCAGCAACATGCCCTCATAGCCCAGAAAGCCAACTGTATCTTGGGCCACATAAAAAAAAAAAAAAGCGTGGCCAGCAAGATGAGGGAGGTGATCCAGGTGAGAGCTCACCTGGAGTACTACATCAAAAAACATACACATATATACATACACATACATATTCATAAACATGCACATAAATACACAATTTAAGGAAGAAACCTACTAAATAAAGCCAGGACTTTGGTTGCTGATGGAATCCACCAGGTACATTTCACCATTGGTGGAAACTCTTCAGGTTTTGCAGGAAACAGGCGTAAAGAAATAAATTGCAGCAATCTGTCCACTACCTGCTTGAATCTTCTCTGTGCGATCCTAAAGCAAACATGCTGCAATTACTCTCATGTGATCACTGCCCACAGGGAAGCCTATATTGTTAGATTTCAATGTTACGTTCTGAAGAACATGCTTTATCAAAATAAAATTCCAAATAGAAGTTTGCAGAAGCATATTTTGAAATACTGGCATGCAGCAATACTCTTCAGTGCATCATTTAAACATTTTTTAAAATTTCTGTAATTTAAAAAAAAAACTTTACAAAAGAATCAATTCTTATTCTTTTCTTCTGCTGAACAAAAGTGAACAAAAAAATCATTCCTTCACAATGCATTCTGGGTAAGAAAAGACTCTTCATTTTTGGTTTTGAGAAGCTTAGTCCTATTGAATCAACAGTGGAAAATACTTCATGCACTTGTGACAAATGCACATGTAAAGTTATGTGCTCCAGAACTTCCAGAATACAGCAAAAACTTTACATATATGCATAGATATAAGCAGATGTATCAAAGAATCATTTTGTAAACAAAAGCTGTAGAAAACTGAACTAATAGATTTTTCTAAGAATATCAATATACCTATGTACCTTTTGCATCCTTAACCAAGAGGGTTTATCTGGTTTGTGAACATTGATCCAATTAAATAATAAATCAACAAAACTTTAAGCAAATCTGGACATATTTCAGGGGCAATGAGAGAAATATATGCATACCATTTTCAACCTTGCAGAGAATAAAATCCGTAATTAGCAGATTCCCCAGAAGGTAAGGGAAACGTAAATACAATTTTTTTTAAAATTTATTTATTTATTTTTTTTTTAATTCTGGACTGAAACTTTTGCACAGCCATTATAAGGAAGGTAACATACATACAAACTTAAAAGCCACTCTTTGGGCAGTTACCTCCAAATGGCCGATGGCTGGGTGCTATGGTTTAACTCTGATACCTTAACGATACTTTGTAACCAGATGGTTATCTGTATTACACTATGAGCAAGGACTTGATTTAATTTGTGGTTTTCACATAATACAGGAAAGCTACAGTATCTTTTGGAAATAATACAAGAGAAAACTTAATGTAAAGGAAGTCATAAAGATGTTTGTATTAATAATACAATCTAAGCATGTATCTAGAACATGTACATTCATAATTTTTTTTTTGCATAAGTTACATAAAAATAATTTACACAAATTATTTTGCGATCAAAGCTTTTTGCATAAAGATGATAACTTTCATACATTCTATATGTAATTTGCATCTATAAATCAGTATCACTTAGTGGACTATGTCCAAATGTACTTTGAAAACAACAAAAACAATCTCTGTAGTCGATTAAATTAACTTTCAGTTAATTTATATATAATATAAAACAGTCAACATCAATGGAATTACAGTAACAATTGTAATCCTAAAAATTGAATTTTTATTTTTTTTAAACTTTTTAATTTTTTTTTTTACTTTTTAGACCAGTGCACTAGGAAATGATGGTCAGCTTCTGTTAAGGCTGCTATCTGTCTTAGCAAGTGAGCATAGATGACATAAGTAGAAGTGTTACTAAATTGAGGATTCTGAAAAAGATTAAAAAAACGTGTTAGGTTAATAAACTGTATAAAAGGAAAGAAGTCATTAGGACTGTTTCTTATGTTTGTTTTTGCCAATACAGTTATGTAGGACAATTATGCTGTGACAGTGGTAGAACTATAAAAAAACTATTTGCAACTTCTATTCAGGTGAAAAATACATAACATAACTTCTATATTGTAAAAGTATCCGGTTGTTTTTTTCTTTTTTTTCTTTTTTGTGTGCGTGTGTTTTGAAAGAAAGTCCAAAGGTAACAGAGGCAGTATTCAACATATTATTTCTGGATTATCATTTACTGTAAAGCACAATTACGCTCCTCTGCATGACGAGCTTTCAATTTCAGTAATAAAGATTCTCCTTTCTTTCCACACAATATTTTCCCTCTTACATATGAGTTCAAATTCCCACTTTTCAGAAGTATTTATTTCACATAATTCACAACTGACACACCCACCCCAAAGACGACGACTACCGTCTCCAGAAATCATATAACTACCTGATTTTTTCAAGTAGCAACAGACAGATCTCATGTGAAGTGGTGTTATCTACACACGCATATCTTGAAGGAGAAATTTGCTATGAATGCAGATCAATTTTAGTAGGAAATTTCACTGATTAACACAAACAGATCAGACAATGCAGTCAATACACTGATGTAGACTAGCAGTAGACTGCTGGATAAATTTCAACACTAGAGAAAGTTACAGTAATACCAAAAAGTGCACATACTGAAACTTTCTGGGAAGATCAGCGTTGCAGCACCTCAAAGGAAATCTAACAATAAATTGGAAACATGAACTCACAGAGATATTAGCCCTTTTAACATAGCGCCAGGAAACAATTGCATGTCTAATACTTCCTAATTCATACTTCTAACGTACGCGGCCTTTACCCATTAGCTATCTGTCATTAAGTCATGCATACCCTATGCTTCTTCCAAATGTTAATATATTCTTATAACAGGAAATTACATGTGAATTTTTTCAGTTATACTATCTTGTTTGCATAGTATACTGGTTTATAGATTAGGAATTGTGCAGACACATACTTAAATAAAAATACTGCATTTTTCTTACCTGTAGAAGTATACAGTATGCTCTAAGATCATCTTTTGTCCGTGGTCTATGAATGAATGAAATAGTAAATGGAATATATATGTATGATATAGACATGATATAAAATACATACAGACTAATAGTCATGAAATCACACTAGGATTTAACTTTGTTTTGTTAGTATGTGTTGAACACCATATTCAGGAGCTTCACTGTTCTCAGGAATTGAAAAGGACACTTGAAGACCCAGTCTTTTGAAGACTGACTACTCTTTGAAGGCAGCTACCTGTTTCAGCATCTGTCTTTCACAGTACAACAGAAGAAAGAAAAATAAATTGAAAAGCTGATGTTCCAAAAGGGTACTCCATGCCATTATCACCGGTAACACTCCAGAAGAGTTTGTTTGCCCCATCTACGATATTTCTTACTAGAATTCTCCACACATTTCTATCACTGCAGCCTCTGTTTCCTCCTGCTTATCTGCCTCAAGGACTTAATGTACCCACAAACGCATATGTAGCAACAGCACAAAAACAGCAGGCAGTGTGGAGAAAGGAATAACTAAGGGCTGGGTCACGATGAGTCACTACAAAGACCTGTCTCCTCCTATATTCTTTCTGAATCAAACTTCTATTACTTCTTGTTAAAATCTTGCCCCCTCCATGTTTCCTGGCTAACCCTTTCTCCATTCTGTACTCCCTTCCAGTGCTGCTGCCACACATAAGTGATGTTGCAAAATGAACTTCAGGTCAAGGCATTATCTAGGTTCAAACCGGTTAGCTGGGGGCAGTGTGAACATGTTTTACTCTATAATTGTCTTACAGCAGGGATGCCTGAAAGATAGCCCTGGCAAAAAGGAGCTGAGATTTTGTAGGGTTTTAATGTGGCAAAGTCTGCCTCTCAGAGGTTCAGCATCAGCTTACAGAGCTTGGGTACATTTCAGCAGATTTGCCTGCCAAAAGGAGACAAGCTCTTATGAGTCAAGTAGGACATTTCAAAACAATTTCCTTCTTTGTCTAGAACAATAAAATAAAAAACAAGTATACCAGTTGTAAGTAAGTGTTGAAACAGTACTAATGCAAACGCAGGTTACATTTACCCTTTCCATTCTTGTAGCAGACCATTAATTATTCCCTTTAGGACTGACTTCTGAACATCTTGAGGCTGTATAAAAAGGAACAGGGAAAAAAAATAAATCACATTCTATCAAATTGTACATACTCTATACAAGATACTGTACAAAAAAGCAAGTTTGTTTTTCTTGTAATTCAAGCCAGATATAAAGTCTTTGACTATTGTGTTGAGCTCCTTTGTACCTTCCCTCCTAAGGTTATTAGGTGAGGCCTAGAGTTGTGTCAGCTGTGGCATTCAAAACTTTAAAAATCAATTCAATATAATTCCTGTTCTGAGTTAATTAGGTACAGTATTTACTTTTTGCAACCCCAGACCTCACATTTTCCTTATTTCCCATCATGCAGTGTCCCATCAGTCATGTCTTATCTTTCAAACAGTCTTTGAGATCTACCACAGTATGAACTGCATAACTACTAACAAAAAATTTCTCATCTTTTACTAAAGTGGTTTTCACGACTCTATGGCAATTCTCAAGGGATCATTTTAAGTATGTTTTGAGAGATTCTTCAGAAATTGTACCCATATCAAAAATTTTTCTTAGATAAATTGCTTCCTTGAAAATTTCTCTGCTGAAGAGATTGCTACAATGTTATCAAACATGAACTCTACTTCTACTCTCTTCTACTTACAGTATTTAATAAGGCATCATAGACAACATTCACAAATTTTGCATTGATTCCAGAGTCTTCAGTTGTATTAAATGGAGAATTGGCATCTTTCTGCAAGTTAGATAATACATGAAACATTTTGGTTTTGAAATATTTTTAATATGTCTTTAAAAATTAAGTATCTAACAGTAGGTTAAAATGAAACACGTACACACAACTATTTGTTTTCCTTATCAAAACGCGAGAATCTAAGTCACTTTCATTAATATGTGAAATATGAAACTAAAGCATACCAATATTGCACATTGGCAGCTGTTCTGTTTTAAAATCTAGGAGGGTCTCAAATAATGAACAGAAAGCACAGGATGTGATCACAAAGATGTGATCCCATCTTTGCCGCAGATCCTTTGTGGGACAAGAACAAAGTTGTAAGTAACTAAGAGTTCATGGGTTATTTTACCTAGGTTTTTGTTTGTCTTTGTTTTTAAAAGGGCCAGAGAAGAACTTTATTTCTTGATTTACCTGGACCTCTTTATTAGCTGCATAAGCTTGAATCTTTTTAAGCTGTAGTTTCTGTAGGAAGTACTTTATGGAGCCACAGTGTCAGAAAGCAAACTAAACACAGGAATTTTAAAGCTTCACATTTGCTTAAAATATACTTACATAAACTGGAATGAATAAATCAATGCCAAAACAGATCATCTACTAAAGATGGTTAAGATGATGAGAAGATGATCTTAGTGGGTTTGAGTAACCAGCTGCAAGCCTTTAACTAAAGTTTGCTTAACTGCTTTGCAAATCCAAATCACTGTAACTACTGAATAATATTATGAGTTTTCCACCTTAAACGCAGCATTTATCTCCAGGAAAGAATCAAATGTTGTAGAATAAAACTCATGTACGGCCTTCCAATCTCCTGATGACTTTGCCTTTTCCATATCATCCCTAGAAAGAATGCATTAAAATATTAGTAATACAAGAGTTGAATCTTCCCAGTCCCTCAGACTTTGGACTGTGCTATAACTCCGTGGTTTCCTCACTCATCACACTTACAGGCAGATAAGTATAATATCAGTACCTTCCCAACATCTTCCTTGTCATTGTACAATCATAGTATTGCAAGAGAACAAAAGCACAGTTTGTGTTTGATATATTCGAGCAATGTCTCTTATTCAAAATGTTAATTCACGTGTCACAGTTCAGTACATTAAGACAAATCATTAGCAGAACAGAATCATGCTGAAGAAACACTAACATGATAAAATTTCTGAGATTTACTTATTAAATTCAGTACATATGCTGCTCTTAAAGTAGTCAATTTCATTACCACTGTACTAAATTATCTCCCATTTTTTTTTTAAAAATTAATCTTTGTATGGGACTGTACACATTTTTTGTCAACAAAACCTGGATTTACCCTTTAAGTCCTTTTTAAGTACAAATCTGATGTAAAAATATGAAGAAATCAATGGGACATTAAAAAATACTTCTTGAAAGAATGAAACTCTTAATAATTGCATCACAAGATGGCAGTCAATACATAGAAAAATCTGAATGTGGAGAAAATGACAGCTCTTCAGAACACCTGAATGCCAGCAAAGGATTTTCCACCAAATAAGCACACTGACCAATAAACCAGCATTCCTACCCTTCACTGAATGCACAAAATTTCAGACACCGAAAAGAGCAATGAAAGTATATGCTCACATGCCTCTGAGAGCAACTGTGATTCTTTTTTCCCCCATCTGTTAGAAAAACAGAAGAATCAAGCTTCTCCTTAGGAACACTTTTCCCTATTTCCTAGCTAAGATTATCCTACCAGTGAAACACTCAAGGATATTACAGTATCACAACACTGTTTTGTAGGTGCTAATGCTTAACAACAAACAAACAAAAAAGAAACACTTTGCCGATCAATGTAGGCATGTTCATGAAAGCAGGCAGAAGCCCCTAGTGCAGATACTTTGTGCCACTGTTTTATTCACTAAGTTATGCCATTTTTGCAAGTGAAAGCATCGATTTCATAATTTTGGTGCACACTGCTATGTTTCCTAGGAAAAAAAAAAGTACTCTCTATTCCCTTACATCCAAAACAAACTGAGCAAAACCAGGTAAATTAGTGGTGCAGACCTGACATCAGGAAGTCAGGTTGTATTAGTTAAAAACAGATCTGCTGGCTTCCCCGGGGACTTCCGCAAGTCCAACTAAGCCAACCAAGCACCTTCTGCTGCACAGCATGACATTGCTGGAAGAAAATGAACATACATACAGTTTTGATTAAGGGTCTATACTGAACTGGAACAAACAGAAGTGCAACTGGATGCTGTTTCAGCTCATTCTAATTTCCTTTTAGCTAAAGCACAGTTACAGGATAATAGCGTAAGTACTGCGAGTACTGTCTGCACAGACTCATAAAACTCTTCTTATTGAAGACAAAATATAGTACTTTCAATAGAGAAGTGCTTAAATAGCTTACACATACAAAACTGCTTAAAGTAGTGGGCACAAAAGCAATGATACACAAATACAAAGTTTCTCCATAAACTTAAGACTGAAAACTAATGCTCTTTTAAACATAATGCATAAAAAAGGTCACCTGCTTTTTTTTTTTTTTTTTTTTTCTTTTTTTAATCAAGTTAGAATGTGTAGTCCACATAGTTATCCCTCCAGGTCCTCAAATACCATGTTACAAATTTAGATGCCTTATGTGCATTGTTTTTCAGAAGACTGAAAAAATGCTCAGTACCTGCATGGACAGGACACACCGTAGCTGGCAGTTAAAAACAAATACTTAGCACTGAAAGGTATTTTCCAACCTACTGTAAGCCATACGTATTTGTTCTAAAGCCTAACATCCACTCCATGTTAGAAACAGAATTTCCAACTCTGAAGTACAGACTTTGCCATTTCTTGACCAGAACAGCAAGCTTATGCTAGAGAAATTCTTTTGGCAATTTTCACAGCAACAGAGATATTCATCACACCGTTACAGCCAAGCTAACTACTTCTGCTACTAGACAGACTTACTGAATTACTCCCAAAAGATGAACAAAAAACCAAGTGCACGAATTAGAACAAAAGTCAAAAGAAGTAAAGTTTACGTTTAAGAACATCAATGAAACTTACTGAAAGTCTTTCACAGTTTTGGTTCGGATGGGAAGGGAAGGTTGAGGAGGGACCCGTGCTTTGAGTTCCTGGGGCAGTGTATCTATAGAGATGCGCTGCTTTTGTCTAACATCGAGGCAAATAGGTGGTAGGTCTCTCACTTAATTAAAAAAAAAAAAAAAAAAAAAGCAAAGAATAACAAATACAAGACAATTATATAACAGTTAGCTAGCAAAACACAAATGTAGAGGAACTAGAGAAGAAAAATGAAAACTCACACTGGTTGATTACATTTCATTAAAGCCCAGCTCATTCAAGTACTTTTCCTACCATATGTTCAACCCAGACAGGATGGAAACTTTCACTAAGTGAAGTGAAACAAAATCATATACAAAAATCCCTCAATCTTGAGTCCATAACTATATCTTTTTTGAACAAAGTGTTCCCAGTGACAAGCGAAGAAGAAAAATCAGCCCCTCTGTCTCCTGCCTGAGGCTTTCAAAAAGAAGGGAGTCTTTACTACTGTATAAATGAACTGCTGGACCATGTGATAAAAAAATTATTTGTCCGTTACAAAAACAAAGAAAATCACACTGGATTTTTCACAATAAAGTTGCTAACATATTGATTAAAAAAACCTGAAACAACCAATCAGTGGTGTTCCAACTCATTATTAGGAAAAACAGCAAAATATTTTACAGAAGACAGACTAATAATACATCTAGTGCTACAGCAACAGCACATCATACAAGAAAACTCAAGTCAAAATGTAGTTTCATTTTCACATGAGTGCTGCAGAATTTTCATTTGCAGACACAGGTGCTTGACCTTCTGAACATTAAGCCAAGTACCTTCTGAAGTCAGACTGATAATGAATGTGCCTATTCTGAGCGATACATCCACCTGAATCTATGATGAACTCCAGGTATGCAAGTTAAAACACAAAACAGAAAATCAAAGGATGTCATGGAATTACAGGTATCCAGGGTGTTCCTGGAATATTTACTGCGTGAAAACCAAACGGAGCAGCCCATGACTGACAGCTACTGACCAAGAACAGCAGCACTGCCATTGTATTTGACTCAAAAGTAACATACAAAATGCAACAGTAACGTTTCCAATATCTGTGAATAATCTGAAACTTCACACTGAAGCCCAATCATTTTCTTTCATAAAAGGACAAGTTTTCTATAGTCATACATTATTTTAGCTAGAACTGATTGTGAATCATCTACGACTTCCTGAAATAATTTTTGCAATAAATTAAACGGACTGTGCAAGTCTTCTGCCTTTTCAGAGAATTACTGAAACAGTAATTTAAACATTTAAACACTTCTACTCAATAAATTTGGTTGCCTAATACTAAATGAATAATACTAAAACTAATATAGCAGCGCTTTAATGAGGTCTTCCTCTTTTATTCCTTATTTAATTTTATCTGAAAACTCTGTACGGGGTTTATGTGGCAATGTTTTGATTGGGTTGGGAGCGGCAGCCTCTCTGAGAAGAGCCCTGTGCTGCCTCAGGGCCCAAGATGGAGCTGCAGCCTAAGGCACAGAGCCAGGCTGGAGCAGTGTTTGGAGAGCAGCAGCAACCTGTGAGAAATAGCCACAGTGCAGCAGCTTATGAATGGCTCTATCCTACTGGAGCAGACAAATAGTATAAAGAAGGAATGGAGACAAAGTGTAATGAATTGATCACAGCCTCCATCCCCCATCCCTCTGCACTGCTGTGTGGGAGAAGGCAGAGACTTGAGTTTGAAATTGAGCCTGGGAAGAAGGAGAGGTGGAAAAAAAAAAAAAAAGTGGTTTGGGTTTCGTTTCTCATGATCCTACTCCATTTTTAATAAGCAAAAAAATTAATCCTCCTCAGGTCAATCCCGTTTTAAACAAGCTCCCTGTCCTTGCCTTGACCCACAAGCTTTCTCACCTCATTTTCTCCTCATTTGCTTAAGCAGGGAGAGTCAGTACTTGGTGGGCACCTGGCAGTCAGCCAAGGCCAAACCACCATAAACACGAAAAACAGATAGGGATATCACATACAACACAAACACCCATTTTAATGCCAATGTTTTCTCGAATATCCTTGCATGTGCTTTTCTATGTTGTTTTTCTTTTTTTCCAATGTAACTTACACTGCATATTTTAAAAGCATTTATATAAGTTGAATATATTGAACCAAAATTCTCTAAGAATTGTCTAAGAACCTTCTAAGCCTTTTCTCTATAATTCCAAGAGTTTCTGTTTGGTTTTGTTTGCTTGTTTTTCTCCTTCTAGATGGATCAGGTATTTTTGGTGTTTTTTTTTTTCTTACATGAACTAACAAAACACCAAAGTAGTATCAGAACTCTACCGCCTACCCTATTTATCACAGCAGAGAAATATATGCTAGTAACATCCCTAAAGCACAAAGGAGATTCTTTTCCCTCATGCTAACGATAGGGAAACTGTCAATGTCATTCAACTCAGATCAATGTTATTCATCAGATCAGAGCTGTTCTAAGTCCCAAGCGTGGCTTTAATTACAGCTGTTGAACCCTGTCACTCTCACAGCTGAAATTTAAGTCTATTAAAAGAAGAGTAGTAATACAACAACAACAGTGGACACATACTCAATTAATTCAAGCCAAGGTGCCCAACAATCCCACTGTCTAAGTGCTGTGCTATTACAGATGGGCTGACTTACAAGAAACTAAGACTATGCATTATTTTTTCTACTCCAAGAAAAACAAGTCATTTTAATTTAACATTCATTCTGTCTTCTCAGTTTTTGAATGGACTAAACATTGAATTACAAACAGCTGAATACACCGAGGAAAGTATTCCCTGCATCTGCAGAAGAGACAGCTGCTGATAGAAGCTGTTTCTCATTCCAGTAACTGAGGCTGCAGGTGCTAAGCCTGGTAAACTCCACTCTGACAGCAGTGCAATTTGCTTTGAAATATGGTGCTTAAGTTAGAAATACTAAAACTGTGTTTTAATAATACATTTAATAAATACTGTCAACTTCAGAACATTTCACCATAATTCCAGTGTATTTGTAAATAGATGTAGTTACCTAACATCCAAAAATATTCATTAAGATCCATCAATTTAATTCCATTGAAGACAAACTTCAAACTTTTATGTACTGAGTTGACAAACAGCAACAATTCCCTATTACAAGACAAGAACTCGTAATCATTTCTGGCTGCTTGCCCAGTTATGTTACATAAAAAGACTCAGCAGTGTATGACTGCTTAGGAAACTATCAAAAATCAGTGAAGAAAATCTTGTTGATACAAAGGAGAATTGACTACTACACAAATCTAGGGTGAATGAATCTAAACCAATAGGTATTTTCAGTGACCAACACAGCTACCAGAAGATTTTTCAAGTAGTTAAGAGTTTCCTAAGTAGTTAAGGCAAACAAGTCTTAGTCACAATTGTAACATCAAAAAACTATAAAAATTTAGTTCATATACAGATTTCTCAGAACTTACAACAAGTCTTGCAATGCAACAATCATCTGGTCTAAGAAAAACCAACAAAAACTATCTCTGTGGCAGCTATATAGCAAATATAAGTCCAGCTTTCATACTATATTTACCAACTTTACTTTATAAACATTTTTTTTTTCCCTGAGAAATAAATAATTTTCTAACTCAGGCTTGAAGTACAATAATATGTGCACACATACACATCCAGAGAGAGAGAGTAGATGTATATAAATGTACAAAAAAAAACTAACCAAGCATCACTCACAAATCCCAAGTTACCAATAAAAGCATTTTAATCTGCGAGGGTTGTGTTGTTTCAATGTTACTTTTTTTCCCCATGGAATACAAACATATGTCCTCAAATAATATTGAGTGGACCTTGGACAGTTAGACAGAAGAATCTATTTTCATACAGGCAGATTACCCTGATCCTGAAATTATCAGAACAAAATCATGTTCAGACTCTCGTTTACACATAACTGCCTTTTGTGTTTCAGTGATTTCCTCCCCTCTTTTCTGCCCTTTTTTTTTTTAAATAAAGTAGGAAGCACCTTCTTAGTGCATAACAAGTTACTTAAAAAAAAGCCTTGCATTGATTTTTACATTTGCAGAACAGCCAGCAATGATGTCAGCATTGCTTTATTAAGGGAACCAATTCTCCAAGTTAAGCCAATGTCCACTGTTTTGTTTCTAATCCATACTACTTAGATCTTTCAATTAGCACCATCTCTTTCTTTCTAGCCTCAAATACATTAACAGCTCTAAAGGCATAGGGAATTGTAGAATACTAAGGAACCTGCTCACAGCCAAGGTCAGCTACGCAGAACACAAATGTGACAAATGCTTGTACAGACTTTTATCAAAAGTCTGAAATTACTGGAACTCCATAACCTATTTTCCTCAAAAAACACTTCAACAATGAAATAATGTTGCTATTAAAAATATCAGGTCTAACTACAATGTCACCTCATCAGGCTCTGTGATTCTAACTCAGACTGAAGATACAGCTCCATGTGATATCCTTCCATTGATTGTCTTTACCTCATCACAGCACAACAATATTCCTTCTCACCTATGAAGTTCTTCAGAACACACCATTCATTGCCTGTGAGTTTTATATCATTTTATCACAGGCCTTCATCTTCACCGAAGAACAGCAACTCTCTTCCAACAGAAAAGTGTTGTGCATGTCTCATTACTGCCATACTGCAGATTCAGTTAGAAAAATCTCTGTGAAGTTTGACAATTTCTAGAAAAATGTGCTATTTGACAGCAGTTAGACAAACAGTATCTGGAAATGCAGTTCTGAATCTGTAACTTTCACATTTCAGATGATTATTTCATTCCCCAGGTCTGTTAGTCGTTCTTTTCCCACTCGTCTCAACTGAGGATGGACAACCATAATGATTTACTGACTAAACAATGTAAAGCACACTAAAATCTAATGAAACCTAGATTTCTGAGTTTCTTGGCATAGTGCAATAGAAATGCTGGCGGAATGCTCAGCACCTCCTTAAACTGATGACTAAGTAACATAAGGCTTTTATTCTCTTACCATTTTTGATGCTCGGTATAACAAGTTGTGTGGGTGAATTTCTGTTTCCGGTGCCTTCCTTCTTTTGGTTGATAGTTGTGATGAAATTGCTGAAAGTAGAAAACTGATTTTTTGCTCCTCTTTCCAATCCCTGTAATTAAGATGACAGCATGCTATAAAGGGATAGAACATTTCCAACTAATTCTATCTTTCTCACTGCAGCCAGCTCAGTTTGAACAGATGCAAGTGAACATTCCTTTTTCAAAGGAAACCTTATACAGTTTAGACAAACTTCTCCAGACTCGAGATACAAAGACAAAAATTCTATGCAGACTCCCCACTAATAAAATTTAACTACTGGCTACCTGATAAAAACACCTGATTCAAAGTTCTCAGCACCAGTTGTCACTAAAGAAATGCTATCCAACAAACATTTGCTTAACACAATGCTAAAAAAATCTGCTTAATATCTGCACCTCCTGCCACGAGACAGCCTGCTTAAGCTTTTGCTAAGAAATGCTGGGTGCTGCTGTGTTTGAAGAGTGAACAGAAGTGAAGTAACGCAACAGACTTTTAAAAGATTGTGTCAATCAACCTGTTGGACACTAAGCGCCAATAGTCACTACATGCCTAGACAGATTTCTTTACATTTAGACATAGTCATTTACTTTGAAAAATTTGCAACACACAGGGAAGGTAGAAGGCTTGTCCAAAACAAGTCACGTAGCAGAACTTTTCATTTGTATCTCAGCTCCAAGTCATCAGCAGATGTCTAGTAAAGTTGATGTACGTAAAAAGCCAAACACAATCTTCTTGCACATCGTGATTTTCAGCCTCATTTAAAGAGTCTAAACATGCACTGGTAAACGTAAAGATTCACTTAATCATTATGTGGTATCTGCTCTCTCAATGACAAGAAATATTTTCATGCAGATCAAAACTGCAATTCTACAAAGTAAAACAGAAATTCCAGAACAATTCACGTATATTTTAAAAATCCATACACTTCCCTTTCCTCTTTAAAGAAATGAATTTTTACGAAGCCATGCAGCCAGAGCTCTGAGGAAAGTACTTCACTTCCACCACAACATCCTGAAACACCACCAGGAGGGTAATAATGCAGCCCATAAACCTGCCACACTGTGGTGTGTGCACGTTGGTACACTGCCAGGAATTTTAAATAACTGCAAAACGAGCTGTTTTTCCATGGCTTCTAACTCAGCAAATTATAAATCTGAGCAATCAGCAGGATTTCTGGCTTAAAAAAATAGAAACTTTCAGTTTCTAGCTCCAAATTCCTCATATGCAACAAATGTACAAACATAAAATGTAATTATCAGTATTTTCACATTATGTGTTTTTAAATGATCATTCTATAAACTTTAAAATGTCATTAAGATGGTTCTTAAAACTTACCTGGCATGTGACTGGAAAAGCCCTGGCCCTGAATAAACACAGCAAGATGTGACTGCGTGAGAAAGGACTTTTAAAATAACTCCTGTTCTGCGGTTAATCTGCTGGGTCACAAAAATGTATGCACTAGGTAGAAAACCTTCTGGATTTTGGATTACTCCAAATATGATTAGTAGGGAATAAATAGGTAATAATAACAGAGCTCTTATGAAGCAGGCTATCGTGACAGCCGTTTTGACTGACGTAACCTTCCCTCAGCTCTCTAGGTTTTACTCTCCAGCCCCGCTATTGCAATAGTACAGTTGAGAAGTTAAAAGGATTTGCTTAATGCCACCATCCCAAGAAGCAATCAGAAAAAAACAGACCTCGCATGTGCTATTCAGCTCCATCATCCTGCTCCAAGTGCAGTTGCAACAACGTTAAACAAACTATTTGGATAAAAGCTTTATGGAAAGCCCTGGAGGAATACTGGGGAGCTACATGCTCATTAAAGACTATCACTGACATCTCCTGGGAGAGTAATGTAGGACAAGCATGCAGCACTGTACCATATTTATAAAACTCTGTAGGAGGTCAATGAGCCTCTAGAGTCTAAGACACTTCACACACTGCCACCAGACAACCAAACCCCCACGTAAGGAACAAGTATGCTCAGAGGAAGTAAGTGGATCAAAGTGATCTTTAATCCTCCTTTATAAGAGCATATTAATAACTCACAACACTGTTGACTTCTTAGTAGAATTTTTCAAAAGCTTCAAGTCTTTCATGAGGCCAGAGAGGTACCAGTCTTTTACCTTATAAATTTATGTTTTTCATCATTAAAATTAAATCAGATGGTAAAAACAAGTCAAGCTGTTCATGAAGAGTGGGCACAGAGTGCCTCGGGATAGCAAAGACCATCTAGAAGAGTTTCTTGAACTCCCTGTTCTTCAGCTCTAACTTAGCCCACTCACTCTACACATGTGGCAGGTAAAGGCCAATGAAGAGCAAAAGATTTTCTTCCCTGTGCAAGAACACATGGAGGGCACTTAAATTACCCAAAAGCAGCTGCCAGAACAGCCTGCTCAAGAAGTGAAATTTTCCCTTCCGCTTATATCTTGAAAGGTGTAACGTAGGAACGCTTTTGCCTTACAGAAACCTCTACTTGCTTCTGCTTACAAGAGGGCAAGCTTTTAAAATTTCCACATTTCTTTTCAGAAACTGACATCCAAGCCTTATGCACAGTTCAACCCATACAAAAAACTTTTGATGTGCTGAAGGAACACATTAATTTATTCATAGAGTACTTTAATCTCCACAAGATTCCTTAGAAAGCAAAAGAAAAACACCCCAAAAGGTCATCCTCTTTCAATAACTCCACATGGTCCTCAGCTGGAAATGAATGACAATATCAGCAGCACAGAGGCACTTGATTACAACTTGCAGTCAGATGTGACATCTTTCACACACGTGCTCATTTAAGAAAAAGGATACTACTGTTTTCTACTGACTTTCTCAAATTCTGATCTTTTCCACAACTACTGTGGAGATCAGAAACTGTTTAAAAGATGTGTCATGCCTTCATGCTGTCTTCTAGGAAGCTTTAGTCATGGCATATCAGTTGCACAATCGATGGTGGGTCTTGAACACTTTGAAGAAAATGTCAGTTACACAAATAACTTGGGGAGGTGTTTTGAGCAGGGACATCTGAGGCTCACTCATCACATAGAGACTAGGTAAGTCATCATACAATGGCTGTCAACTGAGAAATAACAGGCAGAGAAAATGAGAAAATTTATGTCATCTGGAGTATCATCATGATTATACCAGGCCTTTGTTTCCAAAGGAAATAAATTTCAATGAAAAAAAAATAACAACAAGGGAATTAACAAGTATTTTTTAAGACAATGATTTCCCCCTTCTGTCACCATATCAAATTACAAACTTTTCTACAGCTTAATGAGGAAGATGGAAGTGAGAAAACGTCTATATTTAAAAGTGCTTGAAATGATCTAATTAAGTGGTGCTCATTTTTGATGTTCAAGCAGAATGTTTAAAACATGATCTTAACAACATACTCCCCAGATCCTGAAATTGGATGTGTAGCTTGGTCAGCACAAGGGCTAAGCACACCAACCATCCAATATCTTCTTTCCTGTAGCCAATAAAGGTCTTGCAAAAGCATATTCCCTATTTGGTACATTTGGATCAAAGACTGCATTCTGTCACACAACGAGAAATCCAGGGCTATAGAAAGACCTATTACATCTCCCCCCAGAAATTCTCCCTCTGTAGCATGCTATTATAATCTCTATAAATTCAGAACCCCATGTACATCTGACAGTGCATGCCGGATTGAGCTCTGCAGCAGTCAGCTCAGCCCGCAGGCAGCAGCACAGAGATGCACACAGGACATCCAGCTGCAAACAAGATTTCTTTCCTGATTCTTTAGGGCAGCGGAAATTCTACATGGCAGACTAGCTGCACATATTTCTCATTCCCTAAGCTAAGCCTGACACATTTTAGAGCATTGCTGGCATCTTTATTCTACAGGACTGGCGTTTGCCAGTCATTTCAGAGTCTGAAATTGATGTTTTCAGAAGTGTAGATCACTCCTGGGTACTTGTTCATCACAGACTTCTCCCAAATCCCTATTTGAATCACAACAACAAACACATTCTCCTGAATTCTGACAGATTTGCAAAGCTGAGAGCCTTTCAGAAGATTGGAACATTGTAGGCAAAACATAAATTGAGAATTGCTCAAAGGAGTTTGCAGTTTGCCTACAATCACTTGCTTTAACATTACAATTATTTCATGACAGTCATAACCACTAGACACTCAATCACTTAGACTCAAATTATATATAAGGATAATTTCTAGTTAATCAGATACTCCTCAGAACCATTCAATTAAGTCTCATAACCATATTACGGTGGGATGGTGACGTTCTGGGGTGGAACTGAAGTTGCAGCTTTCACGTGGAGCTACAGACAACGAGCAACTTATGCCAGGAAAAACGTATGTTTCGTAACGCCGGGCAGCCAGCAGAAAGTAACTCATAGCTCGAAGAAGACTGAAGATCTCGAATGAGGTTTCCGAAATGGAATTATCCCGGCAAAGAGCTCTCTCGCGGCTTTTTTCCTACCTGCGTTAAGTCATTCATTGGACACAACGTAGAAAACGGAAAACGTAACAAAAAGTTAAAAATACCGAGGCATTTTCCAGGAGGTTCTCTCGCCGTAAGCGCATGAAAAGCGGACACCCCCCACCCCCAACCTCCCCGAGCAGCGCTGCGGAGCCCCAGCCATGACTAACCCGGGAGCAGACCGCTGTAAAACGTTACAGAACTATAAGCAGATGGAGCCTTTCTAGCTTCGTTCTGCCACTGCTGACAGACACAAGCGTTATTTTTAAGAAACTTGACTGAAAGCCGCCCAGCGGCGCGGAGCACGGAAGGAGCCGCTCGCAGCGCCCCGCGGAGCCGCGCGGAGCGACCCCGACCCGCCCCGCCGGGCCCCGACCTACCCCGGCCGCCGCGCCGCACGCCGCTGGGATGGCCGGCAACTCGTCTCGCTCCTTCTCCCCTTCTTCCTCCTCTTCTTCCTCATCCTCGCCGTCCTCCTCGGCCGCCGGCGGAGCCGCGCTGCCCTGTTCCCGCTCCAGCTCCGCGCCGGGAGACAGGCCGGCGGCAGCCGCAGCCGCGGGCGGGCTCTGCAGCGACATGGCCCCGCCGCCCTCGCGGCAGCCCCCGAGCGCCCGCCGGCACCCGGACCCCGCGCCCTCGCCCCCCCCTCCCGCCGCCGAGGAGCCCCGCTGGCACCCGCGGCGCCGCCGTTCCGCCGTAATGCAGCAGAGGAGCTGCTCCCGGGCGCCCGGACACCCCCGCACGGCGGCACGGCGGGGCGGAGCGCTGCCCTACCGCCCTCACCGCGGCCCGGCGAGGAGGGGCGCGCGGGACGGAGCGGCGCGGAGGCGGCAGGACCCGCTGCCCCGGCGCCGTAAAATTACACCGCCGCGCCACCTACAGCCCGCGGGCAGCCGGAGGGGCCGTCGCCGCTGCCGCCATGTTGTTTATAGGCGCCTCGTAGAAACGCGCTTGGCGACCGGGGGCGCCGCGCGAGGGCAGCGGAGGACACGGCTACGGAAACGCCGTAGTGCAGGAAAAGGCGCGGGGCCGGCCGTACGGGAATCGGGGCTGGTACTGCGGATTGCGCAGCCCTGCTGCGAGGGGTTCTGCTGGCAGGGGCTGGAGGTGCTGCCTGGCAAACACATGAGCGACAAACAAAACTGCGGATAGGGGACTTAGTGGGCACCGGTGTGGCACTCCCATTCCTCCTCAACTCTTGAGTGGTGGTGAATGCTATACTTGCAGTCAGTGCTTCCACCGGGTAATGCTGTCACAGTTTCAAATTGCACTCTTTAACGAGTAAAACACATAAATTAAGTATGAAAGGGTTCTCTCCGTATGTCATTGGCAAAGCCAAAGCAGGACAGGGCCCTGCTGGTGATAGCTGCCCTTGCCTTGGTCTGAGCCCCTGGGTGTTGAGGTGAACTGTTCAGTGCCTCTGTGCTGAAGCTTTGCTGTACAAAACAAAAGAGGAAAAAAAGGGAAAAAGTGATCTTCACAATATGTGTTGCAGTGCAACATCCAGACCAGATGTAATGCAATGGCTGTCTGAGCACTAGGGGCACTTGGTTTGATAGAAGGGGCCCCGAAGCTTTCCTGATGTGAGAGGGCTCTCACGGCTGTGCACACCGAGCAACAAAACATTGAAGTCCTTCACACCCCTAGCTGCCACCTGAAACTTCCAGCCCACTCTTAATTCTGTCTAAAGACTTCCCTTCACAGCACTGTGATCGCAGGTGTGTGAATAGTTGTGTACGTTTGGAGCAAGTCATCAAGATGGTTTCTCGGGTGGAGGTAAACCACGCAATAGTTTTCCTCAGCTCTGGCATTACACGAGTACCTCCTGCAGGTCGAAGCAGTGGTAAAGATCTCTGTAAGCTGCATAAAAGCAAGAACATAATAGCTACTGTGGCAGTAATCTAACACATTGAAAAATGCTTTCCCTTTCTGAAGGAACTGGCAGACCTAAAGTATATTAGGTTTCATTAAGAAGCCCCTTTGTCTCCTTACCAAGTTAAATTTGAAATTTCCAAGAAGTTCACTTCTCACTGTGCTTGCTTCCTAGCAGCTCTCGGTGGTTGGCATGAATAAATGGCCCACCGCAGTTAAACAAAGCACCCCAGACACTCACTTATCTTTCTCCTTTCCTTGCCAAGAAATAACATAATGATAGTAATTGCAACAACTTCAGTACAAGCAGCTATACACCCAGTGGTAGTCCTCAACTGGAAGTAATTGGCACAGCTGTTCTATGGAGCCATGCCAACTGGAAACATGGAAGGATCTGCTCCCTTGAGCCTGCAGAGGGGGAAGAAGCAGAGAGGAATGGAAATGTAGGAAAGCAAGTATGCAAATGAATTAATAATGCTTTTTTCTTTTTTTTCTCTCTCTCTTTTTTTTTTTTTTTTTTTTTTTTTGCCATAAAGCTACAAAAGTCTGATTTTCAATAGCTTCAAAAATACTGAAGTAGCCCTTTAGCAGGATTATTTCACAAAAAGCTAATGCAACACCAGAGCAAGATATCAATTTTTGTTGTCCATAAAATATTGAAAAATATCCTGTGCTATTTTAAGCTGCCATATTCTACTGAACTAAACTAATTCGGGGGAAATTTTTTACTCATGACAATTATGAAAATAGGCAAAAATATACTGCTAAAAATGTTTATTCTTATTTTTGTAGGAGAGTAAAAAGGAAACACTGAACGCAAATGCATTTTCCTACTTCCATTAGAGGAAGCACACATCTGTTGCCTAGAGTTTGTAATTTAAAGTGTTTCAACATAATTCATATATTCACAGTCCAGGAAGCAACCACGGATGGGAAAGATGTATCTATGCTGGCTTTAAATTTGCAAGCATGGATGGATGCTAGCTGGCTGCAGCAGTGCCACGTGTAATGAGGCAATGCCAATAACCATGCAATCAGATGTAGCCAAAGTGATAAACAAGGGTAGTGGGCAATGGAGCAGTCAGAAAACAGTGAATGGAGCAGTCAGGATAGTTTGTTTACTAACAGACAAGATTTGTGGGATATACAACATCCAAAACTTTGCAAAACTAAAGAGAGATATGTAACTCCTGTTTAAAAGACTTTGCAAAGTTGTTGGGAAGCGGCCCTGAAGCCTAGTTCCATGCCCAGTCAGCACCTGTAGTATGAAAGTGTTTGCAAGCCATTTCTTTGCATGAACTTTCTTATTTCCAGTTCTTTGTTTGATGTCAGTATTGTTTTGGCTTAGCTCAGTGGTAGCTTTTTCATCCTCGATATTCTCTCCTTTATCCTTCCAGAGACCATTTGTTTGTTTTTTAGAATCTCACGTGAGCAGCTTAAAAATCTTAAATCACATGGTACCATCTCCTTCACAGCATTTTGGTGGAAGATAGGGTTCAGTCACAAACTGTTTCTCATGCCAAGAACATGCTGCACATTTGCCCTGGTTCCTGGATAAGTTTGCAGCCTGTGCTGGACCCCATGCTGGCATGCCCCACTGCTGGCTCAGATAAGCATATGTAAGCTACAATAACTCCCCTGAATGACTATGTGAGGGATACAGGCAGTGCATGACCCTGAACATATTTTCTTGATGGGAGAAAAATATTTTTTGAGTCCCTTCAAGTTGGAGACGGCTCTGACAACTTTTTTTTAGAATTATCTTCCAACATATTTATCCTGTCTAAAAAGTTTGAGTTGTCGGGAAGGGGAAAAAGTCAACTGCACATCTCTGTGCAATGACGTGGCCAGGCACAGACAGCAACAGGAATGACAGATGGAAACAAACCAACTGCTAACATTTGTTCACAAATGATTAGTAAATGCTTACAAGTAATAGATATGCTCACAGAGACTGGCATTTGGGAATGATACACACAGACATGCACACACAAAGTTAAATTTCCTGGCTAGTATTTTCATGACAAATAATTGAGTGTACCTGGTCACGTCTTCCTATACAGTCTGAATTCAAAATTCAACCATAGTGAAATTCAGCTCTGGTTTAATGCCAGAATGTTAGTCGTGGTTTTTGCCAACTATGGTGTTGCTTTGCTGTTTTTTTTTTTTTTGTTGTTGTTGTTGTTTGTTTGTTTGTTTTTTAAGATGGTCCTCAAATGCTTTAGAAGTGTTTGCAGGAATGTCAGAGATCTCTGAGACAAGCTGTTATTTCAGAACTGGAATGGCCTTTGTCCTTTAGTAAAGATGGGTTGAACTCATGTTCAGTTAGTGATACACTCTCATCACGCAGCTGTACTGTGTCTTTTTATTTGGCAGTACTTTTTCTTCCTCTTCATACTTTGAATATCTTATACTTCCTAGTATGAACATATTTGGACCTTTTAACAGATGCATGCTTCATGAGATGGACTCTGAGTGGGCACAAGAGGAAGCATAGGAGGATTGATGCATTGAAAGGGGAAGCAAAAGCTGGAGACAATCCATTTCTTCTCTATGGGAGTAGGAGAGACATAAATGGTTGGGAGTTTTCCAACACAACAGGTTTTCAGCAAAACATTCATTTTCAACAGAAAGACCTGATTCATTGAAATGGAAATGTTTTACAAAAAAAGCATCTTCTTCAGTGACCTTTTAGCAGAACTCAGGCAGGATTCCATCAAAATCCACCTGTTACTCTGCCAACACATTTGGAAGATTCACCACACTTGCTGTGTGAATCGTATCAAAAACAGGGACTTCATGACTTTTGAACTCCTGAGCTGCTTTGCCCTCCCATGCCACCTGCCCACATCACTGATAAGGCAAGATGGAAGGTCACATCTGCCCCATACCTGTTTTGAGACTGCATGGCTTTGGCACTTGTGAAGAATGACCCCACTCTTGCATGACACCCCCTGGTGGCAGCCATCCATTTTTCTTCAAGTTAGACTAAGATAGAGTTGTGACTTATGGAATCTGGATGATTGTAAACCCTTCTACCATTGCTGATAAGCTAGTTCGACTATGTTTGATATTCCTGCTAGAAATAGCAATTTCTGTCAAACTTGAGCTTCTCATAATTTAGCTTTCCATCCCTGGATCACATGCTTTCACCTGCAAGGTAAAAGAGCTCCCTTTTTCCAGGAGGACAGGTGCAGTATATACTCAAACTCTCCTCAGCTATGTCTGCATTGTTCCCCCTCTGACTAATATTAGATGTACTGTCTCTCTTACTCTTTGCCAATCCTCCAGTGTTTAGGGATACCCGTTTTTAAAGAGTTCATAAACAGGAAAGTGACGTAGAGAACTCAACAGTGAATTCATCTGAGACAGATACATGCAAGTTACCCAGCCATTGTTTTGTACTGTCAGATACTCAGTTTTACCTTTCTCTTTGGTAAATGGCAAACCTTTGATTGAAGTTACATCATCAGATAGGTTACATCCTGTGCATTCCTAGTACAGAGAAGGAAGAGCTAATAAGTAGTTCTGTCTTTTTAGCCCATTACATTTTCATCTCAGATTACTTGACATTACTGCCTGATGCAGTACAGCATTTGTACCAGCAAACTGTAAAAGGCTCCTGGTCACTGGTGCCTAGGCAACAGCCGATTTTTTAGGTCACTGATTTCTTTTTGTTTTTGTCTACCAGAATAAGCTGAATTTT